GTGTGTGTGTGTGTTGTTATTTTTTTTTCCCACTGGGTTTTGAGAGTTATAAACTTATTTTGGAAATCCTGCAGTCTGACCTCATCATGTGCTGCAAAAAATAACCTCTTCTCTAAAAGGAAGACATGACGTCATCAAACAGGAAGTGTAGTTTAGTTATTGTAAGAAGAGCGCCCCTGCTGATCAAATATCACCATGAACATGTAACGTCAGCTGCAGGTAATTTCGTCACGCTTTGCTTTGTGCAGAGGCAGGGTGGGCCTGCTACTACGCATGCGCACAACTCTCGCAATCTGAGCATCTCCTCACTGATGACAAAGGGTGCTCCGGGGACGTGCTGCGCGTGACCGCGTTCTTTGCTTGCTCAGTTGCAGCAGAGACATACAGGTGGAGGTGAGACTGACGGAGCGCCGTGTGTGTAGGTCGGTGAGGTGGAGGATGCGTGCCGTGGGCTGCAGCAGCTGATCACCGGTACCGAGACGAAGAGCGCGAGGAAGGACCAGAGGAAGAACCATGAGCTGCAACTGGGGCACCGAGCTGTGGGTATGTGCACGAGCCGCACCTGAGAGCTGCGCACCGGTAACCTGTAACCGTGTGCGTGTGTCTGTGTGTGTGTGTGTGTGTGCGTGTGCGCGCGCGCGCGCAGCCTCGTTCTTCTGTCTGCTCTGCCATAGCAACACGATGAGTGACGACAGAAGCGCGAGCTACAACCTCCATGATGGTGCAGCGCGCGACTCTTACACACACGTTTTTATATCATAGTGAGGACATCTAATTGACATAATGCTTTCCCAGCTGCTTCCCACCCTAAACATAACTCTGACGCTAAAACATCTTCAGTCTCAAAAATGTCTTCAAACTCGTGGGGACGGCTGCTTTGTCCCCGTAAGTGACTGTTGGTCCCCACACAGATATGTAAACATAGTACACACACACACACACAGTCTAGACTCTAGAGAGGGTCCGGTCCTGATCCTTGGAGCAGATTCTGCTAGTGAGTTACCATGGTAACAGCATCTGTGAACCTAACCTGCTGACAGGTGTTCTGCCTCCCCTCCTGCTGCACCAGAAGCAGCCGACTGACCTTCTGTTTTATAAAGTGGCCTCAGTTCAATTCAGTTTTATTTACACAGCGCCAAATCACAACAACAGTC